GGTAGTCGGAATCTACTATTGGACCCGAGTTGACCAGGCGAGCCCCGTGTTGACTTTTGTTGATTTTTTGGGAAAAGTGTAAAGATCTTAGCTTTATCTATTGTAATTAATTTTTCTAGCATTGTTTGATGATATTAAGTTAATTTTTGTTTGATTTGAGCTGTGTGGAGGCGAATTTTAGGGAAAAAGCTATTTTCGAGAGTTGAATTGGCCTAGTTGAGGTAAGTATCTTGCCTAACTTTGTATGGGGGAACTACCCCTTAGGATTTGGAATTGATTGTGTCATTCTTGTTATATGAAAGCCGTGTACGCAAGATGACAAGTGGGTACACGGGTTGTATGTGGTAATTGATCGGATTAGGCTACTTAGACTCTTTCCATACCTTAATTTAATTGTCATATCATGTTCTAAACTCTTATAGTTGATCTATTCTTACTTGTGTTAGTCTATCCTTACATACATTAAATGATTTCGTTAACGCTTGTTCTACATCCTACTTGATAAATTGCTCTGATACTTTAGTTGAACTTGTTGCCCCAGTTATTGTTCATGTTATCTCTTTCATTGTTGATTTGTGAGTTATTCTCATTAATATCGTGGTTATACATTATCTCTCTCATTGTTGAGTTATTGGTGTTGAAGTTGTGAAAGTCGTTATCACATTGAGTCGAAATTGTTTATTGTTGAGACACCTTTCTTGTTGAGCATTTTACATTTATCGTTGTTATTGATATTGTTGTACACAATGTGGTTGAGCCATGGGCTAATATTATGGAAATATTGATATTGTTGATTATTGGCAAGTTGTGATATATGGGCACTTGTGGTGCGAGTTATTATTATGATGTGATATTGACGCGCATGTGGCGGTATAAGGGTAAGGGTTAATGTGCATTCGGCGGCATAAGGTGGGACTTATTTGCGTGTTGCTTGTAGGGGAACTACGTGAAGCCACACGATATCATAAGGTGGGCTAAAGTGCGTGTAGCTATTTCTAAAATAAAATATATTTTCAAAACCTATTTAAATGTAAGGCTCAGGCGTATAAAGAAAGATTGTGATTGAGATTGTGAATTATGAATACGAGGCGGTACCTCAGTTGTGATTCTTATTGTGCACGAGGTGATATCTCATTGCGATTCTTGTTGTTATTCTCATGTTGCAAAGAGTTATTTAGTGGGAACACTTCTTGCTGTTTAGTTCTTCCTTGTTTCATTAGTTATTATCTGTATACGAGCATTATGGTTCTTTTCAATTGCTTCCCTTATATTATCTCTATGCTTACCATTCTTTCATTAGTTTATGTTATTAACTTGCTTCATATTACTTATTACTCCACTTTTTCATTCTTTTTGTTATTACGTTTTCATTCTGTTTATTATATCCTAGTAGGTGTCTTGACCTGGCCTCGTCATTATTTCTCTAACACCCTGAATTTTATAAATAAATTATGTGTATTTAGGTGATCTTGTTTTTATTGCTAATGTTTTATCACTTTTCTTAAATTTAATTTTGCTACCTTATTTGATTAAAAAATGGGGATTAAAAAAGGCTTATTATATCCTATTGGATCCTTAAAATCTATTTTTTTGACCCATTTGATAAAAATAATATCTTTTTTCTACTCATTTGGGAGAAAACCCTTTATTAGCAAAATATCTTTCTGTCTCTCATAAGACATTTTATTCTAGCCCTTTTATTGGAGAACTATCAATCCACACAAGTATCATTCTCCTACTACCATCATGATCACTTGGTTACATAAAAGTTTTAGTCATTATCATTTGAATATATAATGAAATATTATCTTCAAAAATTAAGATGGGTTAAGCTTATTTGAAATCATAGGTTTGGATTTGTGGAGAAACTCTCTCAAACTTGTGGTAAGCTTCTTGTTCAACATATTTTGGTGGAATTATTAAGTTTGTTATTAGAGATTTTGAGATTTTGAAAGCAAAAGATTTAATCCCGTTTTTGAACTGGGCAGCAGTTAGTATTTTGAGAATAACGTTTTCTATAAAAGTCAGATTGTAGTGATTTAAAATTATGTAGAAAGATAATACATAGATCTATAATTGTTATGAAGACCAAAATGGTCAGTTCTGCTGTCTACTATGTCAAAAAGGGGGCTGAAATACAGGGCAGAGTTGCTGCCAGATTTTTAGTAAAATGGTTGTGACCAATTTAGCCCCCCTTTTGATATTCATCATGATTTGGTTTAAACATCTTTAAATTTCAGACCTTAAGTGAGTGTTGATTACGTGCTTAAGGTATAAGAGACATCCGTTCAAGCTAAGGATCACACCTTAGGAAAATCGCTCTTTTTTTGTCTTAGAAGATCTTAAATTAATTGACGTCATTTGAACTTTAGAAACATTAAATCTCCAAGGTTTGTACATAAATTTGAGTATTTTTTTAAATTGAATTTGTTGAGATATTGTAAGTGGTTAAGGTTTGGTGAAATTTTACCTTACTTTAAATTTGTTGTCATATTGACTTGGTTGCTACTTTACTAGTTTACTTGCTTTGTTGCTTGAGAAATAATATCCTGAGGTATTTTGATTTATCAGTGGTCATTGAGGGTATAATTTTTTAATTGAGTTATGAATATGCTAAAAATCATATGGGTGTCATGTGAAGTATTTTTGAAAGATAATTTAACTCGCCCACATATACGGTTTGCTTGAGCATAATTGCAATCTTGTTGGGATTTTGTCCCTCCTGTGATAGTGACTGTCACGACCCAAAATCTACCTAGTCGTGATGACACCTAACCCAACCCTTCAGGTAAGCCCATTAACAACTATCCAATTTAAATAAAATTTATTAAGAAAAGAAATAAAAATACAACTTTTTTTATACAAGAATTTTTCAAGGACTAGTAGTACAAATCATGAACTTCTAAGATTAGAATTTACAAAGCTGGTATGAAATAAATACACTATCTGTTCGAAATGTACATAAACAGATTTTTTTTATAATCTAAGGCTACCATGAACAAGAGGCAGCTACAACCGGAACACAGGTACGTCTTCAAATCCAACTCCCGTCGATCACAATAAGTACTCAATGAGTACAACCGACCCCATGTACTCAATAAGTAATAAACCTAACCTTAGGTTGAAAGTAGTGACGAGCTAGAACAAAGTTCAGGGTCTAAAGTTGGTCGGTATTTTAATTATATAATCAAAAGATTCACCATCTGGGAATCGAACCGGGGTCTGTACTGTGATAGGATACTATTCTACCACTAGACCATTGGTGCATTTTGTTTTAAGACTGTCTTATATTTGATTTATACTCTTTAATTATATTTTCACACGAAAATAACCGACCAAAGTTGGTCGATTTTATTAAAAAATAAAATAACCGACCAAAGTTGGTCGATTTTTTAAAATGACCGGCCGAATTTTTTAATATTAATTTTTATTTATTTTAATTAAAAAACCGACCAAAGTTAGTCGGTTCTTGAAAAATAAATTCCGCGGGACTCAAAAATAGTTTCCCGCATTTTTGCGCCAAAGAAAACTGACCAAAGTTGGTCGATTTCGTAAAAAAAAAAATTAAAAAAAAATATTTTAAAAAACCGACCAATATTGGTCGGTTTTTTGCGGCCAAAGCTGGCCGGTCGACCTTAATCGGTTTTTGCCGAATTTCTAATAGTGTTAATTGTCAGAAGTTAGTTGGTGAGTTGAGCTAATTGGTTGTTACAATGGCTATAAATACAAAATACATTGTAAAGGATAGATATGTTGAATTCAATAAAACTCTTTTCTCTTCTTAGTCTCCGTTATTCTTTTAGTGCATTGAAGTGTATTGTTTAGAGATTATTCTCTCCCTAATTTCTTAGATTCAGTTCCAATTTTAGTTCTCCATTATTCTGTACGCAACATCATGCTAGTCAAAAAGTAAATATCTAGTGCCACAAAATATGGAATTTGCAAGTTGTGTAGAGCACAATACCTTTATCTAAAGATAGAATCACAAAATAATGAATAAAATAGTATTCCAAGCAAAGAATAATCATGAAAAATGTTGGTACGGAGATCATGAAAAGGGCCAATATGGTAGGAGGAGAAAAGCATATAAAAAAGTTGGAGTACACCCGTGTCCAGTTGAAAGTATATGGATTCTCTTTGAACTATTGTTTATGTTATTTTAATTTAATGTCCTTTGCTTCGTACTTAATTTACAAAATAAGCACTACAATTAATATTTATTTTTTATGTTCATTTCGGTTCGCTCTTAATTTACAAATAAACTACTGCTTGATCAATCTTAGGAAGTAGGAACTCGCGACTGGACCCTTGACCTTTACGAAACAATTTTCCGTACACTGTTTTAATTTATTTTAAAATTTTCTCGTACCCTTTTAAAATTCTTTTGCATGTGATGGCCAACATGACTATTAATTATGTGATGCCTTTAAAACTTCTTCTGCATAAACTGAAGTTGTTCAACTTAGAAAATCACAGTGATCTGAAAATGGAAAAGTTGATTTACATGGAAATATAACCGAAAACTTGGAAGAGAACAAAAATTAAAAGAAAGTTAGTTGTATGCACAATAAATAAAACAGTTGTTTGCATGCCTAATAGCCAGATAATATGTAAAACAAAGTAAAATATTTTTAAAAGAAATGATGTGATAATATATAGTGGCGTAAAATAAGTTCTAGAATGCTACCTTTGATATACATAATGCATTTTCANAAAATGCATTAGGATCATCTCATTCTCTACCTAATCAAAGAAAGAAAAATCCAAGTATAAAGGATTTTTATAAACTTTTATTTGCGTACAATAAACTCAATGTAGTCTAAGTCCTTCTCTGAATTTCACGTACGCCCAGGGGGCCGTGCTTTATTTTTACATGTATATTTCTGTAATAACACCTCAAACCAAGGTCAACTAATTATATCCTCTATTCTGTCACGTTAAATTTGTCCCTTCCAAGTTCTTCAGAGTCCTTTTCTTGTACAAACTCCAACATACTCTCACACACTTAACAAAAAATACTCTTCTTAATCTCCTTTCTCCCAAATCTTCCTCTTCTTGCAACAAAAAACTATGGTTCCAAATTCTTCTCCTTTCTTCCTATCACTCACCCTTGTCCTCTTTCTCCTCTCCACAAAATCATCATCAGCTCAATCAACTCTTGACCCAAACCAACTCAAAGCTCTCAGATCACTAAGTGTTCCAACAGGTAAAGACCCCTGTTCTCCACTTCGCAAAACCACCATTTGTGACTCTTCAACTCCTTTTCACAACCTTATTTCTCTCAAGCTTATAAACTGTTCAAATGATGTGGTATTATCCCAAACAGCTCTAAAATCTCTCTCAACTCTCACTGACTTACAGTTCATCAACTGTCCTGTTTCTCCTATTCATTTCCCCTCTGAACTTTCCTCTAATATCAACTCCTTCACTTGCATCAACTCCCTCAAAAAACTCACTAGTGTTTGGCTTATTCGTTTACATAATGCAGTAAATTTAACTGTGTCAAATGTTCCAGTTTCTGCTAGCGGCCCATCTATAATCTTGAACAGCATCAAGAGTTTGCATACCGTGACAATATCTCATGCAAATCTTACAGGGGTTCTTCCTACAAAATGGCATTTGAATCTTACTTATGTAGATTTATCTGAGAATAAGCTTGAAGGAAGAATACCAAGTTCTTTAACTATGCTTGAAAATCTTGCACATTTAAATCTTTCTTCAAATTCTCTCAATGGTACTCTACCAACTGCATTTGGCAACTTACTTTCTCTGAAAAATGTGTCATTAGCTTCAAATTCTTTATCTGGAAATATTCCAAAATCATTTGCTGCTATTCCTGGATTAGTTCATCTTGATCTTGGATCTAACCGATTAAATGGAACTATTCCAAAGTTCATTTCAGATATGAAGGGATTGAAATACTTGAATCTTGAGAGGAATAATTTTCATGGGATTTTGCCATTCAATGCTAGTTTCATCAAGAAATTGGCTGTGTTTAAGGTGGGAGAAAATTCTAATCTTTGCTACAATCATTCCACAATGTCTACCAAATTGAAACTTGGCATTGCTCCTTGTGATAAACATGGATTGCCACTGTCTCCACCACCTCCTAAGGAAGATTTCAGTGATGATAGTGAAGATAAAGAGGATGAAAGTCCACCACCTAAACATGAACATGGACCTAGCAGGGTTGTTCTTGGTGTTGCCATTGGACTTTCTTCCATTGTATTTTTGATTATTTTCTTGGTTCTACTATCCAAATGCTGTAAATGATGAGTGTAAATAAGGAAAAAATCTTGGTCCAGTTAGGTTAGACAAATTTCCTTATAGAATTTGAAGATTTGTTCATTAACTGTATACTAGTAGAATGTAAGAGTGGTTATTACTCAATTTGTGTGCGATTCTAATAGCAGTACTTTTGCTGAAAGAGGATGCTTCATTTCAGCTGTCTCCTAGGCTATAGTGATTATGAGAGAGAGAAAAGTGGCCTATTATCTTAATTCTTTTGTTATTTATGTATCATCTTTAATAAGGGAATGTTTGATTCTTAACTTCCTTTAATTCATTCCTTTTTGGCGTTCAATTGGATATAATTTGGATTTAGACAATGATTATGTGGCTTTAACTCCTAATCGAATAACTAATTACATGCACCTGTTTTACTATGGCATTGCTTCTAGTAAATTTTTATTTCTCCATAGCTGAATGCTCCGAAAGTACGGTTACATCTGAATCCAAATTAGAGCAGCTGATTGGTTGGTTATGTATTATGATTGGACTTTTACAATGGCATGTTTGGCCAAGCTTTTTTTTGTTGGCTAAAAAGTTTTGGGCCAAAATTGCTTTTGATCAAAAATTGAGGTGTTTGGCCCAACTTTTAGAAGAAAAAAAAATGCTTTTGAGGAGAAGCAGAAGCATTTTTTGAGAAGCAGAAAAATGTAGCTTCTCTCCAAAAGTACTTTTCTAAGAAACACTTTTGAGAAAAATACACTAAGAAGTAGTTTTCAAAAGTTTGGCCAAACAATAATTACTGCCCAAAAGTATTTTTCAAATTAATTAGCCAAACACAAACCGATTCTCGCCAAAAGTACTTTTTTGAAAAGCGCTTTCCAAAAAAAAACAATTCTCAAAATAAGCAAATTTTAGAAACTTGGCCAAACAGACTATTAATTAGTCCCTTTCGCCTGGCGGTCACACTATTGGGATTGCTTATATTTTCACTGTTGATTTTGTAAAGCTTTAGGAGTAGTTTGATAAGGTGTATAAGAATAGTATTGAATAATGTGTATTAGTAATGAAGAGATTGGTAATATATGGGTTAATAATGCAAGCATTAGTTATGAAGAGATTATTTGTTATTCATTGTTTGGTGTGGTGTATTAAAAATTAAAATATATTGCATAATTTTTAAGAAAATTAGTTGTTTACAAAAATGCCATCCATACTCTTTAGCCTTAAGGGACTTTAAGGATAATTTTGTCTTTAACCATGCTAATGTATGCATTAATAGCCTTGATATTGCTAATACCATAGGTTGCTATGTATTAGTTATACATAAGCTAATACCAAATAGGTTGTATAACTAATACTTGCAATAGTAATATATAGGTTGATAAAGTGAACCAAACAAGAAAATAATAATACCAAAAGTTAATACATGCATTATTTTCTCTAATGCTTCCTACCAAACGAGTCCTTAAGCTTGTAGTCCAAGTTGCAAGGTACGTGTCTAGTAACAGTTTGTTTGGATGGTTGTTACATATCGTTTTATAATGTATCATATTGTATTGTACTGTACTGTATTGTTTGATGAATACAATGTTTGGATGGATTGTGTCATTTTGCCGTCGTTTCATGGTATCATGCACCAGTAATATGATGAATAAACTTACAATATTATAAAGAAAAATTATGATACAATATATAAAAAGGTAGGGTAAATGATAAAATAAAATTATTTAATAATAATGAAGGGTGAGATTGAGAGAAAAACACAAGAAAATGACGCGGCCACACCAAATCGGTCGTTATATAAAGTTGCACATTTCATCGTTACGTAACGACGGATTTAACGATACGATACAATAATATTTAAATAACAATCAAAACAAACATTGTATTTAAAGTAACAATACGATACGATACAATAATATTTAAATAACAATCAAAACAAACATTGTATTTAAAGTAACAATACGATACGATACAATAGGTAACAACCATCCGAACAAGCTGTAAATGGGAATTCGCAATTTAGAACAAGAAATGGACAATATTAGACACGCCCAGGATTTGAAACTTAGAGTTTGAGATTCTAATTTTTTATATTACTCAGTTTGAAATTAATACTCGCTTTGTTTTAATTTATGTAAATTTATTTGACTGAGCATAGAATTTAAGAAAAAAGAAAAGATATTTGAACTTGTGGTGTAAAATTAGCCACATAAAGTTTATGTGATTATAAATTATTGCATAAAGGTAAATGATTTTCAAATATGAAAAGGGATCATTCTTTCTTACACGGACTAAAAAGGAAATAAGTTCATATAAATTGAAACGGATGGAGTAGTTTATACACGTTCAATAAATATTTTAACACAAAATATAATATTTAAAATCAAAGCTAATGAATTCGGCCAAACTCGTAAACTGTACACAAGCTCCTCCTTTGCTTGGGAGTGGTTCCGCCATCAAACTACTTGTGGCATAAGGAATCATATAGTTAACGAGTCCATCACTCATATGATCACTCAACAATTCTAAATTATTTAGTAAAATTATTTTTCCTTACTTTGTAACAGAAAAGTCATTTAACTATGCTTATAGCACTAGAAAGGTTACTCAACTAAATTTCTCAAATTTTTGACGGCCAAATATCTATTTTACACTCTAAATTTTCAACCTTTATATTTTTTTAACTAAATATTGTGATACTTTTTTTATTTTTAATATGCACTTACCGATAGAACAAATAAATTTTATTACAAAGTAAAAAAGTGCAATTTGTTTTTAGGCATATATAACATTGAAATAATAAAATAATTAAGCTTAATTTTTAAGCATATATATATATATATATATATTTTAAATTGTTTATATTAAATGCATGGAATATAATTTTTAAAAGCTTTTACTCTCTTTTATTTTCAATTTTGTAATTTGGTCTTGAGTTTTTGTCATTATTATCAAAATCACTTATGCAAAATAATTAATCTAATTATATTTTTTATTGTGCTTAGTTATTTTATTATTCCGACATTATATATGCTTGAAAAATATTTTGCACTTTTTAATTTTATGAATAAATTTATTTGTTCTATACGTAAGTTCATAATTAGATTAAAAGAGAAAAATAATATTAAAATGTAAAGAAAGAAGATAAAGGTTGATAATTTAGAGGGTAAAATATAAGTATTTGACCATTAAAAGTTTGAGAAATTTGGTTAAGTGACTTTTTGAGTGATATAGACAAAGTTAAGTGACGAACGAAAGAAAAATAACTTTTATTTATCCTTAAAATTGGATAACAATTAAACTTATAATATGGTTCTAAGGACACGTGATTTCACCTAATACCAATTGATAAATGTGAGGATGGGTAATAGAAATTAACAATAAAGTAAAGCAAACCGGTGTTAGAATGAAACTCAATCCTCGAGTTTGGATACCCTCGAACTGGTTGATGCTAGAATAATTAAAGTATAACAAGCTGATGAACAATAGTATAAACGAGAAAGAGAATTATATTGCTTTTTATATCTGTCAACCGTGTCCTAAAAATGATTAGAACCCCCCTCCCTTTTATATAGTAGAGGAATCTCACCTATGGTATGATTCTAATTACAGAAGGAAATCCCATGATTAGCTAATTAACCGTTTCTGATTTGATCCATTCTGAGATTTACGCCATGATCCTCAACCAGTTACCTAGGTTTACGCCGTGATCCTCGACCAGTCACAAATATCTCGCCTTTATGTTATTATATTTTCTTCGATCTTGCTTGATGCCTGTCTCATTTGGATTCGATCATTACTAGCCTCGATCTCGACAGGTACCTTAGTTCTGAACTCGGTACCTAGTCCTCGTGATTTAGTCTGTTCCGTTACGAGGCCGTATTTCGATACAATCTCCCGGTCTCGTTCAAATAGTAAAATCGGGTGGACCCGATTTTAACCGAATACAGATAGTCCCCTCGATTTTTGGAGTGTAATGACAAGAAATAAATTGAGCCTTCGATTTTTCTACCTCGACCTGTCATGACGTCATCCTCATGACGTAAGCGACAGAAGTGACCGAAACATCCCATCTGTACAGTTAGCAAGGCATTAAATGCGCGTCAGTCTATGGTCGGCCACCGATAATTTTGAACCGTCATTGTGAAATCTATAAATAGCTCCTCTCTTCACCATTTTGAACTTTTACTTTCAAATTTCCAATCTCCAAAGCTTTTTACATCTTCTAAGTTCTTCATCTGCAAATCTACGATTTTCACTGCTAACCTTTTCTTAGAACGCTAAATCTTATCATCTCCATCTATTTTTAACTTCAAATCCAAATGGCGAAAACGTCAAAAGCTATTCCTCAAAAGAAAAATGCTTCTTCATCACGGCCGCCCGGCGACAAAACACCGGTGGAGCCACGCCCTGAGGAGTATGTTCCCGAGGATTGCATCCTCACTTCCGACTTTAAGACCGATAAAGCCTCGTTGATTACCAGTTGATGCGAACCAGTGTCGAGGTATATATTCTCGATAACCAAGGGATACCTTAAGCAGGTAAAGAAAGACTGCAACTGGGAGGGCAAAGATGTGGTGATCCCGACCCTCGAAGAGGACATCACCACCCATGTGGAAGGGTTTCTAAGTGTTTACACTTACCCTTTTACGCTGGGCCCCCTCGACCCCGTTGTCGTTGATTTTTGCCGTCAATATCAAATAATCCTAGGCCAACTCCATCCTTTCTTTTGGCGAATTGTTATTCTGCTCTGATTCTTTGTGAGCAAAGTCGAGGGGATGCCTTTTACCATCGACTACCTCATCAGGTTATACAGCCCCCGCCTCTATCGAGGCGGGNATCCCACAGAGGGGAGGACCTCTTCCGTGATTACTTTACTGGGGTCGAAGATGCTACCGTCCTGAGCGACTTAGAGGTCTCGAAGAAGGACTTGGGCGGGGCATCGAGTCTTTTCAACGAAGCGCAGCAAGCTCTGAATCGGGTAAGACTTAATTCCCTTTGTTGGTATTACCCTTGTGTTCATTTTTACTTTTTTTCTTCTTTCTGCGTAGGCCTCAGTGCTTCATCAGGAAGCATTTTCTCAGTCTCGAGCTGAGATTAATCGGTACGAGGCCGACATTCAAAGGCTTACCGAGGAGAGGAATGCCCTCAACCTTCTCGATGGGCAAAAAGAAGAAGAGATCAAGGACCTCCGAACCGAGTTGGCCACGACTCACAAAGATCAGACCGACCTGATCAAGCAGGTAATGAAAATCTTAAAAGCTCGTGAGCTCGATTCAAGAATG